ATGAATTTATGCCACAATCCATAGGAATGCGAGTCTATGTAATCAAATGGATTACCCCATAGGATAAGCATATCTCTAAAAGTTGCCATTGTAAATACTTAATAAATTTAATTTATTTAATATTGTTTGAAGTTAATTAAAATATATAATTATAAATCTTAATTTTATTATATATTAATATTTATATACGATAAATTATTAATACGATATAATATTCACACTAATAATTTATTTATTTCTATTAGATATATATATAATTTTTATTTTTCGTATAATTTGTTAGTTTACTGTATAATAGTTTAGTTAAAGGTATAATAAATATGCTAATTCAATGTGGTTAATTACATTGTTTCGCATTTATAACATACCGGTACGTATATTTATATAAAATTTGTTATTGTAAAATAATGTCCCTGATCTATTGATTATAGGACTTATTTAATATTAATAATAATAATTACCACATGACTATACTGATAATTATTTAATAAATGTTGTTAATACATGTTTTCACAATAAATATAACTTATTTTGTCAATTAATTTAATAAAAATAATTACCACATGACTATACTGTATAATTATTTAATACATGTTGTTAATACATGTTTCACAATAAAAATAACATTATTTTGTCAATTAATATAATAATTTACTTTTTGTACTAGTAAACTTAAGAATTTGCTTTTAAATTAGTAATATATCTATATTTAGATAATATAAGATCGCATAAAAAATTAGTTTAATTTATGTATATTTTTGTTTATTAGATTCAGATTTTATTTTTATTTGAAAATTTAATACACATCGTATAAAAATTAATGCAATTTATAATTATCTTAAACATAGAAACTTTGATTTATATAAAAAGTTGTAATAAACAAAACATTTGTACAAAAAATAGGCTTTTAAAAAATTTGTAAACAATTTAACACTTGATTGTAAATACTTGTAAATACATTAAAAATAAGTCTCATTACAAAAAATATATTTTAATACAAAAAACAATACATTAATAAAACTAAACATTTATATTAACCATAATTTCTATTCCAGTATTGGCTATAATTAGGCCAAACGGGTCGGGCATTGGGGCCATTACCTCCACTATTATACTGAACAGCTTTGGGCACAACTCTGGACTCCTGTTCCCACATATCTTTCACACGTTTATTATTCTTATAGTAATTCCTATACTTTACTTCATTATTCACCACATTATTACTGCTACCAAACGACTGTCCACCGCCACTACCGGTGCCACACTTAGGCCTGACCAGTGCGGGCCAATTGCACATACCTTTCGTGGCGTCAAAGTGGGTGCCGGGAGGGCAGGCGAAGTCGTGTCGTCTCATAATACCGGCGCTCGTCTCACACCTGAAGAATTTGCTGCAATCGTTGGGGTCCCGGAAGAAGCCTTCGACCACACACTGGACAACAGCGGCGGCACCGGTACCTGATTTCGGGCTACCGTTCCCTACGCGCCGTTGCGGTCGCAGCAAACTCTTAGCCACCACTCGCTGCGACTCCTGCGCCTCGAAATCCTGGTGCTGTTGTTGAGGTGTCGGCGCCGACTTCACTCCTCTATCCCTCATAGCCTTTGGCTGTCTCGGGCGTTGATTGGGTTGCCTCTGAGCGCCGGTAGTTTTTCTTGGCGGCTGTCGTTGCGGCGATTGGGCGCCCGATTTGGTACCACCTCTTAACCGTTCATTAGGGCTGGGATTAGCGCTGCCTTTTCGTTGATGCCTTTCCGGCGCGCCTTTACTGTTGCCATTGGTTTTGCTGGTCGGCGGCCGGGGATTGAAAACGGGTTTCCTCTGCGATCGCGCCGACGGTTTATCTCTCATCGGCTCCTGTCGTGAGGGTTTGGGTGGCTTTTGACCTCCATTTCCACCCTTTGACGCACTTTTCCTATCATTCTTCGAGGGACTGGTCTGAGAGGCGCCTCCTTTTGTCTGTGACTGTGGCCGGGGATTGAATTTAGGTCCACTCTTCGACTGTTGCTGCTGTCCATTACCTACCGGTGCTCTCATCGGTTCCTTAACATTGGGTTTAGGCTTTTGTCGTGAATTTGCGGCAACTTTTGTGCCACTCTTGCGGTCCGATTGTTTGCTGTTGTCTTTCATGGGCTCCGATGGCTTGGATGGTGTTTTCTGCCCTCCCTTTGTGGGTGGTCTGGGAGGTGGGGGCCGTCTCGGCCTCGACTGTGCCTTTTCTTTTGACTGACTCTGAGGTTTACCACCTTTTGTGGCCTCTGATTGTCTTTGCGGTGCGTTTGTGTCATCGGTTTGCGGGCTATTGTTATCATATTCTTGTGGTTCCTGTGGTTGTTGTTGGGGTTGTGGCCGGGGATTAAATACCGGTTTATCACTACCTGAGCCCTCCATTTGAGGGGCGCCTATATTTGTTGATTAAAATTTTAGTTTAGTTTGTATTTTAGCGCATAGTTTAGTTTATTTTGAATTTAACCTGCTCAGTGAGTTATTTAGCATTAGTTATTTAGTGATTGTTATTAGGATTTTATGTGGAAAATATTAATTTTGCATATATTATTATCTAGTGACTTAATTGTAGGCATTATTTATATGTTTTTGCCATGGCCTTGATCAAACAATTTGTTAGTATAGTATAGATATTTCGAAGCAAATATAGCAAAATAAATGAATATATAATTATTATACAAAACAAAACAAAAACAGATTTATTTGTTATTAAAAGCGATTTCAGAGACAAATGATTAAAACAATTATAAAATAGACATAAATTCTGTGAACACAAGCAAATCATTCATAACATTATTAGCAACAATTGATTACAAGTAATTTGAATGTGCCGGCTGTAAGAAAATAGCAATATGTTAATTTATAAGTAAGCGTGCTGAATGCAAGTGGGTGTCAATACTTCCTTGATTAATTTATTTACAAATATACCTAATTTATACCTAGTTTGTAGTAAATTTTATTACATCAAATACCTGGATCTCAAAAATATCATACTTAGTCTCTATAGATATATCTCATAGTGATTCAAAAAAATTTCTATTAAAACACATCAGAATAGATAACAAATAAAAATATAATGCAATAACAATTCACACAAAACTACACTACAAATAAATACGACTAATGAATGATAGGTAACTCAATGTGGGGGTAAAAACGAGATATTCATTAGTAATACATATCAATAAAACAAAATGCAAATTATTGTATGAAAAATAGGAATATTCTGTGTTTGCGAGTCAAGTCAATAGTTAATATCAAAATATTTTCACGCATTTCACAACATTTTCAATAGTAATAAAAACCTTTTATGGGCTGTCGTTCCGCCACTTGATTATCACTAGTCAGCCGCTGATCGCCCGATGGCCGCGACTCCTGAGGACTGTATTCAATGAAACCCTGACTACTGTCCGGTTGTTGCGATGATTGCGAGGGCTGTCTCTGAGCCGATGAGCCGCCACCCCCTTGACAGGGAGGGTAGGCTGCCTGCGGCCAATTGCATACACTGTACCGCTCGTCGAAATGAAGGCCTTCCCCGCACTTGAAGTCAAACCTCTGGAGACCGAACTGAGAGACACACCGGAAGAATGCGTTACAATCGTTAGGATCTCTGAAAAAGCCCTCTCGAGTGCACTGGAAGCCCGATTTGGGTGACTGTCCCTGTGATGGACCATCGCCACCACCACCGGCACCGGGATCTGTATTGCGCTCCGGTATCGGCGCGTATTGACCGCCCGGCCTATTGGACGCGTCCACGTCCTGCCCATACATCGGCTCCTCTTCCTGTTCTATGGGATAATCGGATGGTCTCTGTGCTGGTCTACCGGCCGGTCGTTGCTCTTCGGGCACCTGTAGGTCCTGTTCCTGTTGTATGTGTTGCTGCGTCTCATCGGCCGGTGGGGGCGGCGGCGGTGGTGGACGTCTGGGTCGGGCGGTAGTGGACGACGTGTCCATCGCTTGCTGCTCTTCGGGCACCTCATCCTCGTGTTGTTGTTGGATAGGCTGTTGTTCGTCGCCTACCTGTCCGTCCATTTCCTGTTGTTGTGTCTGATCTTCGGGCGTAGGCTTCGGTTTGTCTCGCGATGGGCCACCGGTTTGCGAGTCGGGGCTGTCATCAGGTGTCTGACCATCAGTGGTCTGCTCTTCAGGTGTCTGTTCATCGGACGTCTGTTCCTGTGATGTCTGATCCTCTTTCTGCTGCTCCTCCGGTTCCTGTGTCTCATCAGCGGCTGAGGGAGTGGTCGACTTGGGTCGGGGTCTAAACGTCGGCCTTTGGGTGGGCTTTTGGGAGGGTTTGTCCGACTCTTCGGGCTCTTCCTCTTGAGTCGATGGTGTGGTTGACTTGGATTTTGTCGGCGCTTTTGTCTTCTTCTTCTGGCCGGAGGGCTTGGGTTTGGCTGTCGTTGTGGTAGTACTGCTGTCGTCCTCCTCATCCTCGTGTTGATCCTCCTCCTGAACGGTGGGCGCCGTCGATGTCTTCATGAGCTTAGCTTTCGTCGACTTCTTAGGCGACGACTCATCTGTGGTCTGATCTTCCGGTGATTCTGTGGTCGCATCGGATTCAGTGGTAGTGTCCGAGGGCTGGGCAGTTGTCTCATCACTGGATGGTGTGGTCGACTCGTCAGACCTCTTCTCACTCGTCGTTTCGGTGGAGGACTCGGAGGTTGTGGTCTCTGACGAGGAATCAGTTGATGTTTGTGTCGACGCCTCCGACGAAGACTCAGCAGTTGTCGCCTCCGATGACGACTGAGTCGCCGATTCTGTAGTCGATTCTTGCGGTGCGGACGTCGATGTCTCGGCCGACGACTCGCTGGTCGTGTCGGCACTGGTCGTCGACTCCGGCGATGCAGTGCTCGTGGAGTCCGTCGACGACTCGGCGGTTGTCGTCTCGTCCGACGACTTTGTGGCCGAGTCTTCAGGTGTCGTCTCATCCGACGATTTAGTGGACGACTCAGTGGTGGCATCGCTGGTGGCAGTGGTGGTCGTGGAGGCGGGGGTCGACTCCTCGTCCTCTGGGGGTTCAGTCGCTTTGAGATCTAATTAACGGAAAAAATACTTTTAATTAACAAAAGTCTCTCAACTTTTCACTCTGAAACTGGTTATACCTTTAGGAGTGGGCTTTTTCATGCCCTTCGCGGGGGGTTTGGGTGTCGTAGACGTGGGTCGCGGCGTAAACCTCGGCTTATCCTTAATCTGGTCGGAGGCGCCGCCCTTTTTGCTATCATCTATAAAAACGCCCACAAAATTATCAAAACTTCTTTCCCCCACAGACTAACTATTCATTATAACTACCTGTTTGAGCGCCGGTAGCCTTTTTCTGGGGACAGGCAGTGGTTTGGCTCTCTTTGACACATTTGCCGGACTTCTCATCGAAGGCCATACCGTCGGCGCAGTCGTACTGATCGGCAGTGAATCCGTCGTCCGTTTCGGTGCACTTGTAAAACGTGCGACAATTCTTGGGGTCTCTGAACGCGCCGGTAGTCTTGCACTGGAATAGCCGCCGGACTGGCGTACAGTTGCAGTCGTCGTCACCGGGCGGTACGTCCTCGTCGTCCGTATCCCTCTGTTGACTGATCGGTTGGGCGTCGGAGTCGGGGCTGTCCTCCGACTGTTGGTCGTCAGCACCGGTAGGTTCCGTAGTCACGGCGTCCGACTCTTCAGTGGTTTGCGTGGAGTCCTCGTCAGCACCGGGAGCTGTTGTACTAGTGGTGGCAGTGGTGGTGGTGGTGGTGCTCTTGGTCTTAGGGCTGGCAGTAGTCCTGGACTTTGTCTGTGGCAATGGTTTCGCTGATGGTTTTGGTTTGGCGTTTGTCTTACTTTTCTGGTCACCGGCAGTCGGTTTGGGTTTGGCTTTAGGTTTGGGTGTAGTCTTGGGCTTAGTTTTGGCAGTTTTGGACGCTTTAGGTGTTGTGGACGTAGGGCTGGCAGCTTTGCCCCCGTCACCCGACTCTTGAGGCTGATCCTCATGTTGTTGAGGCTGTTGCTGATCATCACTCGTATCATCCTTTTGTTGCTATGAAATATGCAAAAATAAAATTAACACGAACATTTTTATATATTTGTATTAAGCCGTAGATGTCTCCAGATAAATTTCATATAAATTGAGTATTTAAATACTTGTGTACAGTTCGTAAGCTAATGTGTTTTTAATAATTTGTATAGAAAAGATATTATTATATGACAGTTTTCAATATTTATTATCAATGGTATAGTACTAACTCAAGTTATTATATGAAAAATAAGCTCTATATAATTTTATGTAATAAGTAATCAGGTGAACATTTTGTAGAAATTAATTAATTAATCATTTCAGGACAAAAAGTTTGTCGAGAGTGAGTGCCATTATAATTATGAGTATAATAATATTATGATATTATTTAAATTCAATTTGTGATTGTTATATTCATAATGATATTAATTACAACTTGCAAATTTAGACAATAATTATTCATTGGCATTAATTTTATTAATAAAAGCTGTAAATTGAGTTAAAAATAAGCTCCTAGTTAAACAACCCTAATTATTTTTAAAAATTATTAAAAACTACTCACACTTTGTGGCTCTTCCTGTTGCTGTGGTTGGCTACCATCAGCACCGGGCGATTGTTGTGAGTCGTGCGGACCCCAGTCATCCTCAGTGTAGGGATGAGGGACGGGCGAGTAATACCTGGACGGGTCGCGCGGCCTAACCATCGGAAACTTGTCGTACCTATCGCTGGTGGGCTGTGCCTCGGGTGTCGTTCCTCTAGCTCTAGGCTTAAACACAGGTCGAGCAGTAGTCCGGGAACGGGAGGGTCTGGCAGCTTGAGGTTCGGCAGGTTGTACCGACTCGGGCTCATAGGAATCGGACGGGGAGTCCTCTACCGGCTGTTCCGGCTCCTCATAACTGACGTGAGCGCTGACCCCAGGGCTGGCGTACTGGTTGTCCACTGTCTGACTCCTGGCCACCGGCTGTACACCATTGCTGTACTGGTGTTGGGGTTGTGGTTGTTGTTGTTGTTGTTGCGGTGGTTGACCGGGGGATCGGGTATCACAGGGTGGGGCCGAATGGGGCCAATTGCACACCGATATCCTCTCGTCAAATACGGTGCCGGCCGGACAGGCGAACCGGTAGATCCGAAAGGCGCCGCCGGACTGCTCGTCGGGTACGCACCGGTAGAATTGGACGCAATCCTTGGGGTCCCGAAAGAAGCCCTCACTTTGACAGAGAGTATCTGACAAATAGGAGAAATATGGTTAGAGTTTTGGTTACAGAATATTCTGTTACAGAATTTCATGTGTCAGTCGATTCTTACTATCAAATTGTTGAGCAAACGATATGTGAGCCTCTAATTGAAGGTATAGTATGAGTAAAATGATGCCAATCCTAGTGAACATAATGGCGTTTTTGGGCTA